CTCTTTAGACATGCCCACATCCAGGCACTTCTGCAGTCGACATGACTGACACCGGTTCCTCGTCACTTTGTTGATGACACAGACTTTGTCCCGGTGGCACGTGTACACCATGTTCTTCTGGATGCTCCTCCGAAAGAAACCCTGACAGAGAGAAACACATGTTGAGAAAAAGGGTAACAGAAAGCGCTGTGAGCGTGTGCAGGAGCTGGAACTGGAATGAAAAGTGCAGAATTATTTCAACTGTAACAAGTGTAATCCTGAAGTGACTCATTCAGCTGATGGGCTGCTGGGCGGAGGTCTAACAGAACATGAGTCTGACCACAAGCACATCAAAGCACACACACACACAGCTATATCAAAGCAGACACTAATTGCACAGACAGATCCTTTGTGTGTCTCTACAGGATTAGATGAAGCCAAGAGGCTTAGAGATCCTCGGGTGGCATAAAGGTCGTGACCTCTTTGCTGACACTTTCTGCAAATACTCCGAGGTCTCTTGCTCTACATGCTGCCCTTTTAAGTCGGCTTTCAAACTGTAGCTGAAGTTTTATGGTCCAGAAGGAGCACTGTGACTTAGTGTGCATGTTTTCCAAACTCAAGTGCTTATGTTTCGCTGCCTACCTTGCAGCCTTCGCAGGCGCTGACTCCATAATGGTATCCTGATGATTTGTCCTGGCAGACAAAGCAGGGTTTGTAGATACGAGGTGGTGGAGGAGGTGAGGGAGGACTGGGGACAAGCAGGTCCTCCCCTGAGCTCGTGCTCTCGGTCTCTATGGCTGCAAAAGAGATTTACATGCAATCAGGCTACAATTTACAAAGACCAAATAATCCTCATTTATGTCATCCTGGAGCTCTGCCTGTTTGAAAGGAGACTTTTCTTTAACCTTCAAGTGACTGAGTGGACTCGTTTATGACACACATGTATTTATTATTGACAATGTGGCCTTTTTTGGACTGATTCTTATTCTTATATAGCGCTTTTCTACTCTCCTGGAGGACTCAAAGTGCTGTATACAACATGCCTCATTCACCCATACACACAAGCACTCTATGCTTTGTCAGTGCTTTAGCTAACATACACATTCATACGCATTCATACTCTGATGTATGCATCAGAGAGCAAGTGGGGGTTAGTATCTTGCTCAAGGATATTTGGCATGGAGACTGAGGGAGCCAGGAATCAAACCACCTTCTGATCTGCAGATGACCTGCTCTACCTCCTGAGCTACAGCCACCCTGTCCATCATCCA